TCCGGCGGGCCCCCATCAGCCTAGTCAAGGTGCTTTTCAAACAGGTAAATGAATCATCTCCCTGTCCACTTGGGATACTTGTGATTTAAAGATGCAGGATTTCTTGCTCCTTTTGAAAAACTCAGATGTGGAGACTTGAGCCTTCATGCACACGTGGCAAGCATCAGCTGGGACTCCCCTTTAGTTCAAGGGACACCTCACGGAGGTGACGACCAAGCTGAGATGAGACCCGAGTGGGACAGTGATGGAGGACGGGGGGGAGAGGGCTGCCCAGTCCCTCCCGGGACACGGCGGTCACCCGAACTACATGCTTGGGCCCTGAGGGCGCACTGGGGCCTCACTGTGGGTGCCGCTCCTGCATCTGGCCCCGCCTGCATCCCCCCTCCCTGCCTGCCTGGGGATACCCACCTGCCCATGGTCCTACAAGCTGCCCTTGTCCCCCACCTCCGCCCGCCCCCTACTCAAATGCCAAGTGTCCGCCGTGGCCCCGGGCCACACCCACTCTCATTCCACCGGGGGTGCCCCCGGCTCCACACGCCTCACCCACCTGCACTCGAACACGTTCCCACAACCTATTAGGGCCCGGGGGACGTGACAAGCCCTTGACACAGATTTGGTAATGCCGGCGCACAAATCCATAGACTCCAGAGCGCTGGAGCTGGACCACAAGGCTGTCGTCTGGGGCAGGGGTAGCAAATTCAAATGCCCAGAAGGACTCAGAGGGTGTCAGGGAGTGACTGGGCCGATGGCAGCCGTGAGGGTGGGGGAGGCCAGGCGCTGTGCTGCGACCCCCTGCTAGCCCAGGAGAACAAATGCACTTGGGGTACACGGGAAGCTGGAGATGTGACTCTGTATGGAAAATCTCCAGATTTTTAAGAGTTGGCAACGGACTCAAAACTCGACACACACAGTTGGGGCCAAACAGAAATCTCTCGAGGCTTAGACTTTGGCCTGCCAGCTTGTAGGAGGACAGGCAGGGAGGCAGAGGCTGGTGCCTCCCAGGCGACCCTCCCAGGCACACTCACGCCAAGGACTGGTGGAAGTCGGATAGGTCCTTCTGCGTGGCATGGAGAAAGAGGATGGTGGCAGCCTGGGGACTCAGCGACCCGTCCCAGGAGGTACTGCCTGCCTAAGGGCACAGGTAGAAGGGTGTCAGGAGCTGGCCGGTAGGCCCCACGCGCCCCCTCCCCCCCGCCAGCCCTGGGAGGGCAGTACCTGGTGCCGGGTGACCTCATGGGACACCAGCTGCTGGAGCAGGTGGAGGTGCACCGTGTAGCTGGGCTGGGAGCGGCTGGCCGCCGGGGCTCTCTGCAATGGGGCCGGCAGGGTGGTGAGGACAGGACCCCATCCCTAGCACAGCCCGTGTGCCCTACCCAGGCAGGCCACTGGAAGGCCCCTGCTCCTGGCCCCAGACCTACCCTCTTGTGAATGAGCTGGAACTGGAGGTGGCACTGACCGCGGTCTGGGTAGGTCTCGGTGCAGGGCTCCAGAGGGTACCACTGATCCTCCCGGCAGCGCAGGTCCTGGGGGGGCCAGGCGGGCAGGAGGGGCCACGCCCATGGGCAGCATAAGCCTCACACGGTTGGGGGCAGAGGAGGCGACAGGAGGCCCACCCCAGGCTCGGCTTGATGTGGACCCAGAGCCCCTCCCTTGAACCCCACACGAATCCCTGTTTCCTGACCCCGCTCACCTGTAGCCTCACAACCACGTTCCCCAGAAAATCGTCCTGGCCTTTGTCCTTCCGTGCCTCCTTAAAGATCCTGTTCCAGGCAGGGGCCATGAGGGGGGTGGGCCAAGACACCGGAGGGGTCAGGCTGGGATCCGTCCCCCTCCTGTGGCCCCCTGGGCCTGGACAGAGCCTGTAGCCCAGCAACCGATTCGCATGCATGGGGCGGGCAGCCCACACTCCTTCCCCCAGGAACCTGTTCCCGTGGCCTTCACCTTCGCAGCCCGTGCAGATCTGTGAGCTCCCCGAGCTTCTGTCTGACGGACTCCACAGTATCCATATCCCTGCGGCGGGGGGTGGGGGGCAAAGGTTTGAGCAGGAGGCAGAGAGGGTGTCCTGGGAGCCCTTGACCTCTTTGGGAGGAGGATCTGCCACCCCGAACCACCTCTCTTCTCTCCCGGACCCCTACGGGCAGCGCATGCCTCTCACCACATGTCCAGATGGAAGCTTGAGTTGCTTATGTCCTCAAACTCCCTATGGGGAGAAAAGGGCCTGGCTGAGGGCCTTGGAGGGCCGGACCCCGGCCAGAGCCTGTGCCCAGAAGCTCCCACCCCCACTTACCCACTGTCCCGTCCGAGCCCCTCCTTGCAAACTCCCCCTCCCTCCCCTAAGGTAAAGCTTCGGCCTACCCCCCACATCAACCCAGCATAGGTGGCATTTGTGCTTCCTCTCTGTCCCTGGCCTCGGGAGCAGGCCCCTCCTCCAGTCAAGCCAAGTCCCCTCCCCTGAGCCAGGAAGTCCTGCTCATCTCATTGAGGGGTTAGGGGCTGGGGCAGGGCCACGTACAGGATGAAGGTCTCCTCCCAGACAGGGTTGAGTGTCTGGGTGATGACCTGGGTGCGGTGGGTCTGCTCCTCCGGGATGGTGTGCCTCACCACAGCCTTCTGCCGATGCCGGGACCCAGGGCTGCCCCCCTGCACGCCCACCCCCTGCTCAATGCCCAGCAGGCAGTAGGGGTCACTGAATCCTGGGGAGGAGGGGAAGGACAAGGCTGCCAGGGTGTTGGCAGGGCTCCCTGGGAGACTCCCTCATCACCCCAATCCCAGGGGCAGAGGCCCTCCCCATCCCAGACTCAAAGGCCCTGGGGCCAGCAGCACCCAGGGGACATCCAGGAGCGGGGAGTTCCAGCTGAGTTCTGGGATGGACTGATGGGGAGAAGGAGGAGCTGGGAAGAGGACCCTCAGGGCCCCTCACCCCCTACTCACCACTGACATCTTTGCCCAGAATGCCCTTAGCTTGTTTCACAGTTGCCTTCAGACAAAATATTGGCTTCTAGAAGGACAGAAGGGTGAGCCTGAGTCCCAGAGGGAGCTGGGCTTCTCAGCCCCTGTCCTAGCCTAGGATGGTCCGGACCCGGTTTACCTCAAGCTTCTGGACCTGCTGCAGCATCTGCTGGTGCTCCTCGGGCTCCATGTGGAAGGCCTGGTGGGGTAGGAGTGTAGGAGGCTAGGGGCGCAGGGTGGGGGTGGCTGGGCGGGGAAGAGAGGACTCCTGCGTCCGGGCTGCAGGATGGCGGGCGGAGTGGGGGCTGCACTCACCTCCTGCAGGTACTGCAGCAGCTCAGAGGCCTCCCGCACATGGCTGGGCTCAGGCTGACCCAGGCGGTGCAGGACGGTGTAGAGAGCTTCCTCGTAGAGCAGGGCCCGCTGAGACACAGCAGGGTCACCTCAGGAACCCCAGTCTGCCCACTGCAAGGTGAGCTCCCCCAGCCACCCTGGCACCAACACTGCGCGGCCAAAGCTGGGACAAGGCGCCCACAATGTGCGGGGGTGGGGGGTTAGGCCTAGAAGTGCCCCCCTCCCCTGCTGTTGCCGTCAGCCTTGGCCAGTAGCCAAGGAGTGTGTTCCCAGCACCCCACTGCCTCCCCCCAGTACTCCGATTCTTACCTCCTCAGGGGAGAGGTGGTGGGATGGAGGCTCGAGCTGAGGAGTGAAGTGAAAGGCAAGGTGTCCCCAAGGCCTGGACCAGGGCTCAGACAGCAGCAATGGCTCCTCAGAGCAGGCCAGGCCAGCGCTGCGGGGTCCCTAGTTCCCGGCCTCCAACCCACCAGGGCCGCACACCTGTTCCCACAGCAGGCCTCCTGGGAGTCCAGCCCCTGGGCCGCCCTCCTCATCCCCTGGCCTGCCGTGGCTGAGGTCCATTGGCGCTCAGCTGCCCCAGCAGCGTGAGCTCGCTGCACCCGTGGCCCCAACCTCCTTCCTTCCCCAGAGGAAGCAGCTCTGCTTATCGGGCGGCCATGCTCCGCACCCCCACGGCGGAAGTGAGGCCCAGCAGTGGAGGTGGGAGACTGGGGGGTCATGCCAAGCAGCCCTGGGGGCTGCGCGACTGATCCCCAAGCCGCCTGGCCCGCAGCAGGGACACTCCCTGTCTAGAGGAGCCGGTGTCTTTGGAGCTGGAAGACCAGAGGCTGCAGCGGGCAGGGGGCCCCTCCAGAGGGAGGAGGCTAAGAGAGGCTCCGACCCCAGACCTGAGACCCAGGATGGCCCAGAGAACACATGGTGGACCCCAGCCTGCCAACTCAGAAGGCCCTGCCCAGGTGCCGCGACAGGCAGCAAAGGGGACCACATCCTCAACCCCAGCCCGCGAGAGGTAGAGCCCCACACCCAGAGACCTTAGAGCCCCACCCTGGCCACTCTTCCTCCTCACTGAGGTCACTCCTACCTCCTGAGCGGTTTGGGCCAGCGGATCCTGCAGATCTCTGACCCTGCGGCGCCTTATCTTGATGGCCTGGCGGAGGACGGGGGGGCGCCGCTGGGGGTGGGAGAGGGGTGTTGCCATGGTGGCCGCTCTGCCCTTCCCCTCCACCGAGCTGCCGCCGCGCCGTGCGGTGAAGATAGTGAAGCCACAGGATTATGCAAAGCGCACCGGGTGCCTCCCCCGTGCGGGGGGGGGGAGGGGCGGGGGGGGGAGGTTCCGGTCAGGGTTTCACCACCTCGGAGGCCTACACCTTCCTCCTGGGGCCGGCTGGGATCCTGGGAGGAACTCTATCAGGCTGGAGGCAGGTGGACCTGGTGGGCGGGCCTGGCCCCACCCCGCCCTCCCACGGAGGCCCTGGTGCGTGTTGGGGGGGGTTATCCAGTGCTCCCCAGCAGGGGGCGTCAGAGCCTGCCCCACACCACGGGTGTGCCCAGCTGGGCCAGGGACCAAGGGGAGAGCTGCCCTGGGTCGGTGGGGTTCCCACCCACAGACTTCCCTGAACGGACCCGAGACCTAGGGTGGGGGTGGGCAGGGCACGGGGTGGACAGGGCATGGGGTGGAGGCTCGAGAGGCATCTCCCCAGCAGGCGGCCAACTGCTCGGCCTGCTCCACCCCACAGGTGACATTCCACCAAGGTGACGGGGCCAAGCCATGCTGGGCGGAGACGGCCCTGCGGCCCCCGCCCCCATAAGGCCGGTCAGGAGGTGCTCCCTTCAGATGCCCTTGTAGGGGGCTGGCCAACCCCAGGGGCTCCTGGGCGGGGCTGGCCAGAGGAAGCGGCTGGAGAGGCGGCGCTGCCCAGCCAGAAGGGACAGGAAAGAGGACACCCCAGTGCTCTAGTGCTGGCCTTTCTCAGAGCTCCCAGACCCACTGGTGCCACGCCCACAGCCCTCCTCCAGGCCAGGGCCCAGGGGTGCGGGGCGGGGGGCGTTAGGCCCTGGGAAGGACTCTAGCTGTCCTGTCCCCAGACACGGAGGTTCACAAGAAGTCACGCACTGGAGAGACTGCAGCACATGTTCCTCCCGCAGACACCTTGTGGCCAGAGACGGGCCAGGGCTGCATCTCCCTGAGGTGGTGAGCACAGCAGGCCGGCAAGGGCCTCCAAGGCCTCCGGCCCAGGTCCCCAGGGGACCCCGTGGGTGGGCCAAGTTGCTGAGTAACCACCACGGAGCAGAGATGTGGGAGGCCTTAGTGTCCTGGGCCCCAAAGTGCTGTGGGAACAAGGGACTCTCACACGGGGAGGGAACGGTCTCCCCAGAACCCCCCCGAGCCGTAGCAGCCAGACTGTTCTCTTTTCCCAAGAGCTCACACTGGTCACCACACACAGAGCCAGAAAGGGTCCAGTCACTTCATTTTTACTACTTCACATTTTCAGCAAACAAATCAAGGTGCAAACAGGGTTTATTTCACATTAATATATTAACTGGGTTTTTTGTTGTTGTTGTTTTTTGTCAAATAAATAGGGAATTCTCTTTAAATAACCATCTCCTCACTTCACGGCCAGTCCAGAAGCAAATGAGAGCAAATTTTAGTGCATCCAGGGGGCATATCACCAATTAGGCATGAAGCTTAAAGGGAAGAGGGCAGGGTGAGGGGCTGGTGAGAGGTCATGGTCAGCACACAGGCTCAGGTCAGGGGCCTCCGTTCCAACCCACCCCAAAGCCCCCACATGGCATGATGGAATGAACATGCATTCTCCAGTCTGAGAAGCCCCTTCTAGAGGGAAAGAAGGCAGAGGGAAACAAAAGCCAAAAATACCTGGAGGGAAGCAGCAGCCCAGCCTGATGCCGCCCACCCCTTGGAAGCTCAAGTTAAAGCTCCAAAAGTCAAAGTGGTGGCAACAGGTGACCAAGGACAGGACAGGAAGGCGAAGGTGAACGTGACTGGGCTGGAGGCTGGCTGGGATTGGAATGTGGGCTGACAGTCCAGTGAGAAGGTGGCCTTCCATGGGGAGGCACAGACCAGAGTGGAGGGAATGTGAGGGGGGCCCGGCGGGGGCCCTCAGGAAGACGCCAGGCTGGTCTGAGGGAGGTCACAAGGCTGAATATAAAGTGGATTCCAAAACGAGGGAGCTGGACTGTGGTAGAGCAGATGGCCAGAATCCTTCCACGGGCAGAAGCTACTAGAGCAAGACAGGAGCGAGAGGGATGCCCGCGCTCCTGAGCAGAGCCCCAGACACGGTGAGAGGGAAGCGCATCCGAGCGGCGCCGTGGGCTCCGAGCTAGCTTGAGAAGCAGGGAGGCACAGCTCCCGAGTCAAGGGGCCCCCCCCTTCCCTCAACACCAGTCCCTGCGAAGTGTTTTATAATCAGACCTGGGGGAAGAACAAGGCCCTTCCATCACCCCCCTAGCCCCAGCCTCAGCCCCAAGGGGAAGGGAAGGGAAGAGTGACGAGGGATGGGAGGCAGGGGCGGGAGGGGTCTACTGGGTCTTCTTATCTTCTGGGGGGTAGTAAGGAGGTGGCGGAGCCTGGTTCTAAGGAAGGAAGGAAGAAAGATCTCATCAGAAGGTCCACGACAAGACAAGGTCTCCCGCCCCCAGAGCCCTGCACACCGCCCGCCTGCTCCCCGTCCCCGCTCACCGTGGGCATGTAGACGTTGTGTGGGTTGCCCGGGTTGTAATAGGCGCTGGCCGCCGCTTCTGCAGCCTTGGCTTCAGCTGCGAGAGAAACACACTCGGGGTAAGCCCCAGCGACGAGCCCTCCCCTCTTCCAGTGGCCCCCGGAGCTGCGCTGAGACCAGAGATGCCCGCCAGGCACGGCTCTGGGAAGCTGGTGCTACCCGGTCCCTTCCAGTGCCTTCAGCCCTCTCTCCCCACCTGATCCTCCCCACAGTCCGGCCACGGGGTACTGCCACCTTCTGGTTGTGCTTGACGAGGCGACAGAGGGAGACCTTCCCTGCCCCCGGCCACACGGCTGGCTGCGGGAGAGGGTGGGGGGCTGGAATCCACAGGTCTTCCCCAGCAGCCACCACACTGCCGGCCCCCTGGACTAGTCCAAGGCCAAGGGTCGTTCACCACCTGGGGCTCCTGGCCAACCTCTAGCTGTCCTCTGAGGCTCTCCATGCAGCCCCAGAGAGGAGAGGGCTGGTCCCCGCCCAGGACTGTTCGCAGCCCAGGGTCTCACCTGCAGGAGTGGAAGGGACATCAGGGCCGCTGACTGGAGGCTCCATGGGCCCCGGGTAGGGTGGTGGTGGAGGCTGCCCATACCCCATGGCCCCGTCCATCATGGGGGGTCCTGGATAGAACTCTGCTCAGCAAGAGAGTGAAAGGGACCCAGTGAGCAGCCTGGCCCTGGCTCCCTCAGTGGGCACCTCCCGGGCCTCTCCAGCTCCTCTGTTAGTCCTGAAGCAGCTCAAAGAACAAGTCTCCCCTCAACAACCCCCTGGCCTGGGTGGGGGTGGTTAGCGGGTGGGCGGGGTGAGGGGTGGGCAGCAAAGGACACACTCACCAGGTGGGGGCGGTGGATAGGGGTAGCCAGGAGGGCAGGGGTACATTCCATTGGCGACGGGCGGGGGAAAGACATAGGCCCCGCTGGGCATGTGAGAATACCCATAGGCTCCATTGGGGGCTTCGCCTCGGGAGGCTATAAGTACAAGGGGAGAGAGAAATGAGTGTCGCCTACCGAGGGGAGCTGCAGGGTCCCAGGAATGTGCACAGCAGACATGCCTTACCCCGCCCCATTCCGCTCCCCACCCACGCTTGAGCCAGCCTTGGTCAGGAAGGAAGTGAGGGATCTGGATGGGGAGAGAGGCCAGGGCAGGGGAGGTCCAGACAGGGGTGGACGGATGGACAGAGAGAAAGAGGGAGGCTCGGGGACAGGGTCCCAGATGGAGCTGGGGTGAGGCTGGGGACAGCGTGAGGATGTCTGAACACAACCCTGCGTGATTTAAACTGTCTGTTGCTTGGTAGCTTAATGGCCGGGTTTCTTGTTCATTTTTAGGAGGCCATAGTTAAACGTCCTGGAGTTCAAAGAGCTTTGTCCAAACGTCCTATACAGGCTCCAGGCCAGATACACCCAGCCTTTGAGGTACAGGCCAGAGTGATGCTAATGACAAGTTTCCTTCCCAATTCCCAGTCCCGGTCGGCCCGGGGCCCAGAGACTTATCTCCTGAGTGCTTAAAAAACAAAACAAAAAGTAAACAAACTCAAACGAACAAATTAAAACCCACACATTTCAACATGTCTTCACCCCGAGCTCTCAGAGCCTTGATACCTTGAGAGGCCACCTGTAGCATCCGCTGTCCAAACTCGATGGCGCCCCCCGCCGTAAAGGTCAACTTGTATGACGCCGAGCCCTCCCAGCCACCTGGGAAGGGAACAGGGCGTCAACAGCTCAGGAAAAGAAGCCAGGTTACACCTGAAGAGATGGCTCTCTGTTCTCTCCAGGTCTCTGTCCAGCGCCCGTGGGGAGAGGGCTGGCTCTGCAGCGCCCGCCTTCCTGCCCGGCTGCTTTCGGTGCGCGGCCCACACAGCGAGTCCGCAGGGCTCTCTTTGGAACAGAGGACTTTCTTTCTTGGAACAAGCTTTCTAAGTTACCCCATCCCTAGCCGTGGAAGTTCGTCAGCACTAGAGCCTCCCACTCCTCAATGAAGCAGGTTCCTTCAGCAACAAGGAACATTCAAGTTCAGAGCAGATCCCTCCTCCTGAGGGGCCTATGGATGGACCTCTGGCCCCTCTAGCCTGGCTTCTGCCTAAGGGGAACTGTGAGCCCCTAGAGAGCAAGACTCAACCTGGCTGGGTGTGAGGGGGAGGCCAAGTTCAACACAGAGGTCTCTGGTGTCTGCAAAAAAGCCCGCCACCCAGCAGGGCCTCTGGGGAGGGGGGCAGACAGCTGGCTCTTCCTGGCTGTAGGGAAAAGGCCATTCCCAAGCCCTGATGCAGGTCTTCCCATACCTAAAATGTGAACACACTCCCCAGGTCACGATAAGAATTTTCACTTATTTTTCAGTCATTTGGCCGATTTCACTCCGAAAAGCTGATCAGAGCTGCTATCTTCACTGGCTGCCTCTCCTGGCTCTCGTCGTTAAAAGCCCCCCTCTGCTCAATAGCTGGCAGCCCAGGTGGGGGGCCCTGGAAGCTAATCCAGAGCCAGGAAGAGGACAAGGCTAGGGGGTGTTTAAGACAGCCGAAGAGGAATGTC